GTATTAAGTGATAGGAGTAGTGGCGGATCCAGGGGGGCATGCCCCCCCCCCCAACGCATGAAAATGCATCTGGATTACGCATAGCATCGTCCGAATCGCACGGTCCTGTGTATTCGACCTATAGGCCTGGGACCCCCATGTTGGATCCGCCCCTGGATAGAAGAACTTCAGTTTGACTGATTTGTGGATATATCTTTATCAGATAAAATGTTTTACTATAAACAGTAGAGATAAAACTGTCACCTGGAAAAAGCAGCTACAAGCAATCCACTATGCACTAATTTTTCGGCAGATTTCTTTTCTGTCAAGTAAAAATACCCAAATTGACATATAATATTTTGAAATTTATATTAACAGTTCTACTCACTTGCCTAAAGAAAGACCATGTTATAAATTAAAACAGTCTCTTCACTGAACAAGATTATGGACCCAAGGCCAACAAATCTAGTTTCATGTATTTTATTGATCTTTTGTACATTGCCACCATCTTTTTTCAGGGTGAGCCATTTTAATAATTTTTTTGGTAATCTGACTGATTTGACAATACTGGAGTGTTGGTTATTAGTTGATTATTGGTAAAAAAAAGGCGTAGGAAAACATGCTGACCCCTCTGTTCTTGTCCGACCCCACAGGAATAATAAATGGTCATTCCCTTATGATGGAATGACAACCTAATGGAAACGACAATTTACTACGAAGACATTGATTAAAATTGACTGTAAATAGCTGTTTAGTGCCATCTTCGTTTATTTTAAACAATACAATTGTCTTAGAGCAGTGCTTATTTTCAAGTTCTGGCTTCAATTTGAGATATTCGATCGTAATTTTGATGTATTACACGTTCTTTCCTAGAATTCCAGGATTAAAACAACGTTGAGACAACGGACAGGCGCCACCTACATACTTAACGTGTCATCACTTTGTTTTTACGACTACCATCTCTTACCGTACATGTTTCATAACCTTATTGAACACACTCACGACACCCCGAATTGCACACTGATTTGACATCACAACATCAAATGTTTCTTGATCGTTCCCAGAAATGCAACGCCCTCATTCGGTTCAACAAGTAAAGGTTCAAGGGACATGGTTCAAAGTTTAACAGCATGATATTGACACGATTCGTTATAATACAGGAATCGTTACTAGTTGTCTTATTTGCACAAATCTTTGATCGTAAGGTAAAATGGTATTTTTTCAAATTTCTTGCGACGTAAATTTTCCAGGACCTACTATTTAAACACTAGCTCTTCGTACATGAATGTTTTAGGGTGATATTTGTGCTGGGACTTCTCGGCACTACCAGTCGGCACCCGTTGTGTTATCACAGGAAGCGCTGTTCCAGAACAGAAAGGACGCTGACTTGCAGGGTCAACGGTTGGAACCCTGTTCACAGTCACAGGGATGTGTGTGGCGTGCTTACAAGCTTCTAATGAAAACGAGTACCTCCATATTTACACACCTGTACACATAGCTATTTAAATGCATATAGGTGCTCAGATAAAAATATTGTTATGAATTCAGTGTTAACATGAGTTAAAGTAGTGTTCCATAGACAATGACTGTCGACGTAAAGGTGTCTCGACCACAGTTCAGTACTCAAAGGTTCAACCACGGATGCAAATTGTTGAAATTTGATTGTTTATAATTATTTTGTACTTACAAGTGAACTTGGTCAGTATTAAATATGTTGTGTCCATGTTACTTGTGAAAACACAAGTAACCCAAATTGATATAAACAAATCGAAGAACACTTCTGTGCTGAGGATATTGGCGGCATGAAATAAAGGAAATGAATTGAATTGGGAATTTAAGAATTTAATTTATTATTTATTTTTCCTTTCTTGCTTTTGAGTTACTCAATGTGAAAGTAATCCACAGTGTTATTGTTGTTAAAGGACGGTGGTCGTCGCGCAGCGTGTGTTCGAATTTAATGTAAACAAACAAATTATTTTACAGGCGTTGTATATGTCGCTATGAGTTTTGTATTGTACAGGATGTGGCACGACGACCATCGTTCATTAAGCAAATGACAAAATGATAACGAAAGAATTAAATTTGGGTTTGCATCATTGTATAAGCCTAAAATTGTACAGATTTCAATCCAAAACTTACTAGGTATGTGAGCATTATACTGTAAAACACATTGATATAGCTATACATGCCATTTTAGCGAATTTGACTCAATACATAAATTGACAAAATCCTAATTTAGCTAAAATGCCAACAATCTCATTGTGAGAATATACGTTATTCTAAATTAGCAACATTTTGAATTAGCGAAATTACAGGTTAGCTAAATTACCCTAAAATGGCATGCTAGCTAAAAAGACATGTTTTACAGTATATGATATATTACAACAAATTGGTTAAAGAGCGGTAGTCGTCACGCCACGCATGTGCGACATTTGTGTTTGTAAATTAGGCAATTAATATGTACATATTACAGCTAAATTGCCTAATATGAGTAGTACCAAGCTACTATGTACTGAGTAGAAATCTATTGTGTGGTTCTTGAGGTATCAATGGAAATGCTTACAATCGGTTGCATATTGCAAATTACATTTTCAAAGTACAAAGATTTTAAACACGAATTATTCAGGTCTATAGATTATCCCAGGCAACTATGTATTAATAAGGCACCATCAACATTTTATGAGTTGTTCTTGGAAAAAAAGACGTGCATACACGCAGACAACGATTTCCATTGTGTGCTTTGCACATGGGAGTCAAAAATAGTTTCTGACCACGCCAATCACGCCAATATATGATTCATATTAGAGGAACTTCATTATGCACAAGTTTGAATGGAGTAAAGTATCTCAATTTTGTTTCAATGCTTTAAAGAGTAATTTACCCTACTCAATTTATGTATGTCCTTTTCATAGGTAACCATGGCAACAACAATGCAGGCTGTCCAGCTTGATGAGCCAGGCACTTCAGATAAGCTGTATATTGGCACTGTTGCCATGCCAACATTGACAGCAAATGAAGTTTTAATAAAAGTTTTTGCAACAGCTATCAACAGAGCTGACTTATTGCAGGTAATGGGTCATCTCCAATTGTTGCAATCCTCGGGGGCGGACATCCGGGCAGAAACTCACAGAAAACAGTACCTTGCGATGATTGTTGAGAGTCCCCTGAACAGTGTAACAAGATTAGCACTACGTGTGTAACATATATGAATTTGGTTGTTCAGGATTACTTCAAAGTTGAGTTTGTGTTGTTTTCTTGAATTTTCACTGGCTCCACCGGCGTTCCACAGCAGCGCACACAAAGCCCATAGAAATACGTGGTACAGTGGTGCGCGTTTTAGCAACGTAGAACGTCGGTGACGTAGCTCCGCCCCCGAAGATAGGCACATAGCAGGTAAGGGGTCATCTCTAATTGTGGCAATAGTCACATTTCAGGTTAAGGGTCATCTCCAATTGTGGCAATAGACACATTGCAGTTGAGGGGTCATCTCCAATTGTGGCAATAGACACATTGCAGGTTAAGGGTCACCTTCAATTGTGGCAATAGACACATTGCAGGTTAAGGGTCATCTCCAATTGTGGCAATAGACACATTAAAGATATTCATCACATCAGTAGATGCACTCTCACCTGGCCACTAGCTATGTGACATTCTTGAAGATTCTACATTTCTGTCATCAATGTGCCAATCAAGTGCCCATCTTTACAATATATCCATGAATATGCAATGAAAAAAGCTATAACTGGTTATATAACTCATCTCTTACAGAGGAAAGGTCTGTATCCACCACCAAAGGGTGCCAGTAATATATTAGGCTTGGAGGCGGTTGGCATCATTGAAGACAAAGGAATAAATTGTTCTGATAAACTTAGCGTAGGTGATCGAGTACTTGCTCTACTACCAGGGGGAGGAAATGCAGAATATGTAACAGCACATGAGGGGCAGGTAGCTGTCATTCCATCTGGAATGTCTTTCACCACGGCTGCTGCTATACCAGAAGTATGGCTGACTGCATATCAACTGTTACATTTTGTTGGTAAGTTTCAACTAATACGTCATTGTACATATGTGTATCCAGCACATAAGAGCCAAACTTTTTTGGTGAGACAAATACTCAATTAGGACAAAGATAGTAGAGAAAACAGATATTAATATTACTTCTAACACATTTAGGTATATAGGGCTCATATCACTAATTAAAACTCCATAGACAACAATGTTAGCTTTTGGGTGAATTTCTCCAAAAAAAAAACTGGTTACAAAGATCAAAATATTGTTTGAATTTGTTGAAACTGAATTTTGGCAAGAAAAACTCCTACAATATGTAAGTGTCTCATCAAGAGTTACCCAGATTCACAGGTAACCGGTACATGTCAATAAACAAAACTACACACACAAATCTAACAGGTGACATAAGTGAACTATGTTCTAATACATCAGATTCCAAATAAAAAGTGGTGAAAGAAAACCCATTGGCTAACAACCATAATGGTTATAAATGCTGATAGACTATGAGACCAATATAGCATTTTATTACATGCTGTTCCCTTACTGTATTTCCAACATATTCTTAGCAGATAATGTATAAGGATTGTATACACTGTTGTTTTAATGTAAAGCTAGTATTTTATTGGAGTTGGAACTTAATTTTCGAAAAAATAATGTTGGAAATATTTTTTCCATTTTGAATTTACTGACCCAGTATTACACTCATTTAAATGCTGCTTTCATTAATGTTGAATTCATTAAACAAAAGAGAATAGAATAAATGGATAATAATAAATGTTTTCTCTTGTAGGTAAGTTACAGAAAGGCGAGCATGTATTAATACATGCTGGTGGTAGTGGTGTTGGAACTGCAGCAGTACAGTTAGTAAGACTTGCAGGTGGTGTTCCCATAGTTACAGCTGGCAGTGAAGACAAAATCAAAAAGGCAGTTTCTCTTGGAGCAGAAGTAGGATTCAATTACAAAGAAGGAAGCTTTGTAGAGAAGGTGTTGAAACAAACTAACAGTGAGTCGGTATCTTTAATGTAGCAACAGTAGATAATTGTTAATTTGCTATGATCTTACTGACCATGCATGTAAGTATAGAGTATTGTGCACTTGTATGCATCCTTTCCTCATCCGAACTCATTCAATTTAAAAAAAAATGTCATTATTCAACTCTATATGAGAGATCTTTAAGAATAATTGTTTCCATGATGTAAAAATATATATTACATGACAAGGATATATACATCTCTGAAGACTTGAATAATCAAAGAAAGCTTAGAAAGAACTCCCATGTGCTGAGAGTATTGGAGACACATTAAATATAATTTGAAATTACTTAGCTGAAAACTAATTATGCAAATCAGAAAATTAATATGACCAGATTTGAGTGTAAAACTAATGAGGTCTGCGCAATGTAACAGAAAATCTATGTCTCCAAGTTTAATTGAAATGTGATTAGAACCAAAAAATAATGAATTATTATGCTTATAGGGAATTAATATGAACAGATTTTTACCCCAAACTAATTAGGTTTGTACATTGTCCTAGAGCATCTTTGTACTAAGTTT